TATATATATATATATATATATATATATATATATATATATATATATATATATATATATATATATATATATGAGAGAGAGAGAGAGAGAGAGAGATTTTACTATACATCTAAAATATTAAATTATTTTTTTGGTAAAAATAAAATTATGTGATTCTTAAATTGAGAGTTTTAATTCTTACACAATAAATTTTTAGAATATATCAGATAGTAGATAAAATGAGCAGTGGCGAGGTGGGGGCCACCCATGTGAGATGGGCGTACGATGGGGGAGCAGCGAATGGAACGGTAGACCTGTGGGAGAGGCGCAGAGGGAGGGCAGCAATTGCTGGAACCACCGGATCTGAAATCGCAGCGAGCAATTGGTGGAGCCGGTCGTGATGCCCTTCTCCTGGAAGAACTCGTTGTCCATGGCCGTCGCCCCCGCCACCGCGAAGTTCACCCCCTTCCTCAACCTTCCGCCCCTCCACGCCTCGAGGTACGGCGGCAGCAGCGGCAGCCCCATCGCCTCCGCTGCAACCACATGAAGTCTCTACATGCACCCAGCCGGTGGCGGACAAAGGGAGGACGGACGGAGAAAGAAGGCATTCGTACCGATGTAGTCCACGATGAGTCGGCCATCGGAGAAGCGCCCGGTGGGGCTGTGGAAGTACGTCATCCCGTATGGCGGCCGGCCGGCCTGGCAGTCGGCGTGGCCGGGGACTCGGATCAGGTTGCCGGTGTCGGCGAGGGAGTCGCCGAAGCTGAAGATGGTGGAGTAGCAGGCGGTGGTCGATGAGCCGAGCAAGAGAGGAAGGAGGAGGAGGAAGAGGGCGGCGGTGGGTGGCTCCATTGGATGCTGATGCCGCGGAAGAAGCGCGAGGTTGCGGATGCATATAGAGCTCGAGTCTTTATTGCTGACGTTGACAAGACAAACAACAGAAAGAAATCTCTTGAGACCATTAGATCTAACTAATATATATATATATATATATATATATATATATGAAAGATTTGGGTTTAGTTCCATTCCAATCTCAATCTCAGAATATTTTCATATATAACTCTTCATATCATTTAATTTCATGCGAAGGATTGGTGTGTTCGCTTGGTATTCTACCCCCGCAACATGGAATGATCTCAGTGGCCATCTATTTCTATTTTTATTCCGATCTTGATAACATGTGGTCTGTGAAAACGAAAGCCATCAACTATTCATATGGTTTCATTTCATGGAAGGAATTGGTGCAATGTTGCCCTCAATTTTCTCCTAATCTTTGGTATATGTGGTCCGTAATTTTCCATCAATTTCATGTGATGGATTGAGACAAAAGAAGAGAATACTTAATTATGATGAAATCATAAATCATATGCTCTTCTGACGTAATTAGTATGATAAATAGGTTTCGTATAATATACCCACAAATGTAGTGGAGTTTTCCATCAAACAAGAATTAGAGGCAGACATCAGAAAACCTATAACTATTATCATTCCTATATGACAACGAAACACTTCAAAATCTCATCATATAAATGTTTTTCGTGTGAAGAATGAACGACAAGAATTCGTGTTCTCTCTTTGGTTACCTTTATCAATTTTGTTTTACCCAACAGTGGGAGACGACATGGCATTTATTTCTTTATTTGTTGAGAAAAAAGCAGCCTCCTCGCATGCATGAATGAATATTACATGAGAAAAGCATGCTTCGTGGTGATTTCATGACATCCTTTTTGCTGCCGTTTCAGAATTTTCAGCGTTGGAATGCTGTCTAAAATCGAGCTACTTAATCTCAAATGTATCTCCATAGCATTCGTGTGGTTTTAGATGATTCTTTTGAGGCTAATACTGTAGAAAAGAGTGTTGTACGTATTTGCATGCATGAGGTTTAGCATGATAGGACATTGAACACATCTTTAACCCGCTATTTCCCATGTTGTTACTTCTAAATATATTTTTATGACTAGTTTTCTAAATCATAAAGAAGGAACCATTTTATCATTATGGACTATAAAATATAATATTGTAATAGAAAATTGAGATCGAATATATACGTATTTTATCATCATTAAGTTATGTGTAGAATAATATCTTTATGAAAATTCAAATATTTAAATTATTTATCCATAATTTTTAGTAAAATCATATCTATATAATTTTTGGATGATTTTCCTTAAAAATATACTTTTTCTAGATTTTTTTTCGTAAAGGTACACTTAATTTTTAGTTTTTCTATTTGGTATATTTTTTTAATACATTAAATGACTCACATCATTATTGATGTCTTTCTCTCTCTTCATTGTAACAATGGCTTAATGGAAGCAACAACAAAATAATCGAAATGGTAAAACAAACGCGACAAGATCATGTGAAGGGGAAAGAGATGATGGGGTTAAAATAGAGGGGCCATAGCGATAGGGCGAAAGCGACAAGACCTCGTAGAGGGTAAGGAGGCAACATGATCAAAATAGTGAAATAGAGGTGATGAAATGAAAACGAAAAGGAAGAAAACGATCTCGATGAAATGGAAGCAATGGAACATCATATAAGTGAGACAGCTCTAAGACAACCTACATACCGTCAAAGGGGGAGGTGGCGTCAACGAAAAGCATTTAGGGTATCGATGAAAAAGGAGGATACCAAATTAGAAAATAAAAAGCGGGATTTAGGAAAACCTCAAAAAAAAATTCTAAGCAAATCGCTCTAATTCTTTTATTTCTTTATATATCTTTAGTAAATTCATATCTGTAAAATAATATCTTTCGACAAGTAGACAACAAGTTATATATTATTATTTTATTATTACTACAAATACATTAACGAAACGTAATTTACTTGATAGAGCTGTGGCTCGTAGTTTGGGCGGAGCAGCTCGTTCATGGCGACGTCGTCTTCGAAGGGAAGGCTGATGGGACGCCAGGGAACCGAGGGAACGGCCAGGCCGGCGGTGGTGTGGACGAAGGAATTGTAGGAAGGTTAAACGACGGCGAAGGCGGCAGGACCGACGCAGGTGGCTGGAACGGATTTGGAGGCAGCAGGGTTGGCGGCCGAAACAGTGGGAATCCACCGGCGCCTTGCGGCGGCGACGACTGGAAGGTAATTGTCGGCAGGGGGAGGAAGAACGCGAACTGCTCCTGCTTCTCAGCTTCGAGCACTGGCTTCTGATAGCACAGCTCCGGCTCGTTCAGCGGCTTGAAGCTGAAGAACCCGACGGAGTAGACATGGACGCCACGCCGCCTCGACTTGAGTCGCAGCCCGGCGGCCGTCGCGGTGGACGCCACCGCGCAGAATGGCTCGTTGCTCTCGAGCAGCTTCACCGAGCAGGCCTCGATGAGATGGACGTGCTTGCTTATCCTCGGCGGCAGGCGGACCCCAAACACCCCGCGCCGGTTCGTCGTCACCACCTTCCTGTAGCCGCGCCCGCTCGCCGCATCTCCGCACTCGACTGCCACCGAAGCACCTGACGACAAGCAAAAGTAGCACCAACAATGATATCTAAGCCTTGTTGAGAGAGAGGCGAGAGAGCTGACCAGAGATCAGGTGGCTGAACTTGGAGAATTCCTGGTGAAAGCATGTATCACAGTAAACAGTTCCGACCACCACTGCAGACGGGGACTGATCCCTCGCATCACGAGCAGCAGAGGAGCAAAGGAAGATGAAGAACAGTGAGAGTACAAGTGAGCAGTGAGCTTCGCAATCCATGGCCTGTAGAAAGCGTAGTCCCCTCGATTTGGATCCAACATAGGGTCCGCAGCATTATATATAATGGAATAAGAAGAATACGATGGGACTCGATGGGCTCGCCTTTTGCTGATCAGCTTATGAACCTTTGAAGCACAATAATGTCGATCACAGGAAAACAAATGCAACTGCTTGCGAACTAACAAAGATGAAGAGATGACTGCCTTTTGATTAGAGGAACCAGAAAAGGTGAGCAGCGGCAAGGGATAAGGGAAGGATGAAGGTACCTTTCTTCTTTTTCCTCTGCCAAGCTGGGGAAGGTGTGAAGCTTATGTACCGCCATAATTGGGTTGGGTGACTGTTGGTTGCTGCCTGTTGAGGGCTTGAAACACGAACGCAGGCAGATTGGCTACAGGATAGAGATCACATGGATGCTGACATTGCATGCTTCAAGGCAAAATGGGGGCATTGCATTGATCGAATTGAACTGAGGTGCTTTTGCATAAACATTGAGCCTGCCAAGGATCACAAACATCAAAAAAAAAAAAAAAAATTGTATTTGAATTCAACACAGTATTTCTGTCATAGATCTTCCGGAGGAATTTGATAGTGACACAATCCATTTATCTTTTGTGACAACAACCTAAACATTTGAATCAAATGCAGCACATCATGATTCAGGTGATGTGAGTACTCATGAGGGAGTTTATCTTGCAGTAACTGCTGCTTCATAATCAACTGGTTGCATGAACATCATTATTTGTCCCTTTCATTTGACCAGTAGCTATTTCAACTGATGTCCATAACATAGAAAGCTTCATCAGGCAATGAATTGGCCCAGGAAAAGTGACTAGATAAACCCTTCATGAGGTGCAGGTAATGGCAACCAACCATTCTCACCGAGTGCTATTAGCACAACATCACCTGAAAACAAGATTCTAGGTTAAATTCGGATGTTTGACCCTTTTAATAGATACTTGCAAAATAAAGACCAGCAGGAGGTAAAAGCTGCATAAGTAATGTCATAAGCACTTCCACATGCCATAACTTTTCTAGCAATAGAACCAAATTATCTCAATTTAAATACTGACCTTTTCTCATGGATAATTGTGGCGATACGAAAATGTTTGGAGCAGCATTTGCAGATCTTATTCTGTAGGAACAAAGCCTTCAAGCAAAAATTGCTCGAATCATGTCAAGCAGTACAACAGTTGACATGAATGCTCTGAAGAGATTACAGCAGAATACGATAAAGTAGGTTACATAAACTTTTTAGCTAAAACAATGTACCAAAAATAATTCTAGAGTTGACCTGTAGAGCCATTCTAAATCGTCAAGCAGAAACTGAGATATCAAAAATTACATTGGAGCTATACTCCCACTTTCCAGCAAGTGCAACCTCTAAAAACTGATACCAATTCTTCGATACATGTTTGGGTGGTCTTATATATGCATATTTTCCCATGCTTGGACATTCATATAATAAGCATCCTAAAATTCTATGAATCAGATCTATTTTCAATCTAACGATAAATATAAAAATGATCATTTATATTATTTACAAGCCTATTATATAAAGCGCTAAAAGGAGAATCACCTCCATCATTTTACAAATTCCCAAATATGGAAAATGAACCAAGTCATTAGTAAAATTAAAACTTTGTCTAAACGAATTATCTCCAAAAAATTTACCACAATGTCAACAACTGATTTATAACCTCAGACAAGATCTTGGTCTTAAATTTGGCATGATATGCTGCCATTTTGCAGTTCTATGTAAACAGTTGTGCGATCAAAACTCCATCTCAAGCTTTCAGGACACTGGCATCTCCTGGAGCTAATGAAAGAAATTGATTCTTATTTTCTCGGTTTTACAGTCTCTGTTTTGTTCATCTGGTACTATTCCAAAAATATGAGGTCCAAGTCTAACAAAATGTAACATCTAACATGGAATCATTACACCTTCTAAAATGATTTGTTAAATTCCCAATATCCGATGCTGTTGTGCTCCCTACCCAGTCGGGCATTTGTCCTCAGAAGGTAGGAATTGGAAATTGTGCATCAAACTATTACGAGAGAACATGAAAAGATAACATGTAATCTTCAACATCTTAGTGCATCCAACAATCTTTAACAAATGGATCTGAGAAATTGATGTATCGTTCCCATAGATGTCTGTACCTGCTTATAGCTAGTTTAAGCCATGGCTTCATCTTCCCATTAAAGTGCACAACAGCAGCACTCTTAATTAACCTATCATCAATATCAGAATCATAACCCAATCCAAGTACATGCCATCTCCGATCAAGGGGTTCCATCACCCCATAAAACGCCAGAAGGCCAGGAGCAAGAGTGCCTGTCTTCCAGAGCATCTGATCAGCATTTTGTTCCTGCCAGTAGTGATATTTGTCAGTAATATTTTCCTTCTTCCATGCTACTAGATCAAAAATGTTCATCCCAAAAGCCCATCCACATGCTTGTGGATCAAATCTTGAGCTAATGACTGGATTAGAGAAGTTGAGATACTTGTAGAACCTATGGAATGCTTCTAGACAGGTCTCCACAGCTCCAATAACATTCCCGTGCAATTCCACTGAGAACAAAGGGGTTAGATCCTTCTGTACCACAACATCATCATCAAGGAACACTACCTTTTCCAATTGGGGCTGTATCTGTGGGATGTAGAAGCGTAAGTGATTCAGCAAGGAAGCAAAATTAGGGTCCTTCAACTTTGTTTCCCAACTCTGATCTTTTGAACTACCAGCAATGTTATAAGCCCATGTTTCGGAATGCACTAGCCGTTTGATCAATGGAGAGGATGAGGCATTCAACCAAGATAACTCTTCTATGCTCAGAACTTTGACTGTGCATCCTCTAAAATCGTTCCTAAGAAACCAAGTAGTCATAGCCCAGTAATTGACCTTGTCTGTGACCACATGAAACACAAGCTGCTGAGGATGATCAGCATTAGAGGCCGTGGAATTCACAACAACAGATGTTGCCAGCACATTATCAGAGAATATATATAAATGATATAGGCTGTTGTCAACAAGTCGAGGTGAGTTCCTGCCCTCTTCTGACAGTTTTCTTAGAGATGGATTTTTATACCACTCCTCTGTGAGCTTTATGTTAAAACAGTGGAGATTTTTGGGCATGGCTTTTGCAGCCAGTTCACCAAATTTTGCACTCTGCACAGTTGCTGCATTTGCATGCTCTTCAAGGGCAAGGGTGTGGCTCTTTAGTTTTGCTATTGTAGTAGCAATGTCATAATGGAAATCTTGGGCCTTGTATATGAGCTGTGCTAGTTCACTGACTATATGATGTGCTTCTTCTAGGGTGATTGGTTTTCCCCTCACAGCTGCCTGAGAGAGCAATCTTTGACCATTACGTATCTGTGATCTAAGCTCCCAAGCAAGCTGAAGGTTGTTATGCTCCTTGGCTATGATTATATAAGCCTTGGCTAGTGTCAGCTGATCTGCAAGTTGCCTGGAAAATGAAGAACTGTTTAACAGTTCTTGCATGAGATATATTGTTCCATGAGAGTTATTCCCATCAGTTGGAATCTTTTTCTGGGAATGAAAAAAACAAGGGAACCATAAGCATATAGAAGGTGCATACTGAAAAAGATAAAAAATTTCAACAAACTTGTGTATAATACAAAATCATTGCACATGTAAAATGAAGATATCCAATATATTTTTCACACCATTAAGAACAGTTGCATTCAAATTCTGAGTTGCAGAGCAAGCAGGATGTTTAGTAAAACATCATTTTAGATGTTGCATTCTAGAAAAGAGTCCAGAAAATCAAACTCGGGCAATTTATGGTTGCTTCTTTGTGACCTAGGTGACCAAGGTTCAAGTTACAAAAACAACCTCTTTGTTTGTAGGGGTGAAGTTTGTGTATGTTGAAGACCTTACATTAGCAGAACCTTGTTCAATTGACTTCCCTTTTTTTTTCCGAAAGAAAATTAAGCTGAACTAATCTACAAAACAGAAATTTCTATAAGAAGAAAATAGATACCAAAATCTTGGATATAGATACAAAAACTAAGCCTTCCAATCGTAAAACCCTATACACATTTTAAGAAAAAACATTCCCATAAATGGTTTCTATTGCTCTAATTTATTCATTACATAGGCCATAATTAATTAAGTTGTGAATGTCACGGTCATCATCCTAAAATTCTTAAGTGCAGGTTACTCGTAATACACTCATCAACCAAATCAATCTAAATGTTTGCCCATGGACACCCATCAACCTCTTAAAAGTCAATCTAAATTTTAGTCCATTTCTGATGTGGACTAAATCAGGGTGATAATGTTTCCATTTAAGAGTTTGCCATTGTCTTCAAGATTCAACATAACCCAGAATCAAACCCCAGCAGTGTGGTGCATATGAGGCTTAACCCAGTGGTGCTTTCACGTCATGAAGTAACATGTAAAAATAATTGGTGTTACATCCTAGTACATGACAGGAGGTGATAAGCTTCCATCAAGACTGGTCCAATGAAGTAACTTGCAGGAACTAACTACAAACCATACTCCACAATGATTAGTTGAGCTACTATGCCGTAGGAGAATTGACCATAAAATCCTACGGAGTCACAATCAAATAAAGAGGGGGTCTCCAAATTGGCTATCAGGTTGGTCGAACATGATCTGTATCATATATTACCGAACTTGATTGCTTAATTCTTTCAGATGCTAGATTCTCCGTTTGATTCATGAGCTAAAAACCCTTCCCGGAATGCCACAAGAAAGAAATAAAGATCCCCAAGAAACCAATTTATGACCTTTTCCCCCCTCAATCTTGTGACTAACATTACCAGATCACATAATCGAACCATTTTAACGGATTCGGCACTAGAAACATCAAGAAGAAAACCGTGGTAACGTACCCTTACGGGCGGCCTGAATCGGTCCTGATGACGGTGCTGAAAGAAGAAGAGAACGAACCCAGCGGCAATCGAGATCCCAAGAAGCGAGCAGATCCAGTACGAGAGCCGCCTCTGGCCCGGGCGCCGGAACTCGGGCGCCCTCCGCCGCATGCGTACGCGATCAAACAACAAGAACAACAATAAAACCGGCTCCTTTGCGCCGACCAAAATTCGTCCCTCGGATTGAGCCTCAACGGATCACCGATTGGAACTGGATTGGGCGGCAGACTCAAAACCTCCAACCACGATACGAAGATCCAAACACTCGGAATCGATGGAGAAAGACGGACTCAAAGATCGGAACGTGGAGGTTCTTTTGGTGAGAGCAGCGGAGAGGAAGTGAGCGGATATATATATATATATATGGCATTGCTTACAAGAGACGTGCAATGTGAGAAGAGTAAGCCATTTTACATGAGTCGATTGAGGGAGGTTAAGGGGAAGTTAGAAGCCAAAGAAAAGGACAATGTTGACAAGAAATGTTGGGATGTGGTAACCCTCTCAATCAATGTTCTTTGGAGGCACTCATTGATGATGACTTTGTGCCACCTAAGGAGAGGAGAAAGAGGAGAAGAAGAGTATGATGGAAAATGTGCTAATTCTTGTAGTCACTAATCACCAAAGATTGAATGATTTGAGATTAGACAATTTGCAAGGTTTTCTTTTTTTCTTCTTATCTTTAGTATTCAAATATTATTATAGTTTGGGCTATAGATGAGAGATATTGCATTGGTCACAACAAATTTCAATTAGTATTATATGAGCTTAAACCCAATCTAATCTGTTTCCAATTTCTTATGATGTTGACTTTATTTTTTTTGTTTGCTCCTAATTGTAATTGGAAGCTTATGGATGAAATCATGCTGACCTTACCATTTCATCAATCCATCTTCTTTTTTTGCATGGAGCACATTAATTAGTATATTAGTCTTTACAGTAAGTACATTAAATTCTGCATGATCTATTTGATTATCACTGGGCAAAAACATTTTCTTTGATTAAATTCTTAGAGATATAAATTCCATGCTTTATTTTTAGATTTCATTTAATGGTGTTTGTTCCTCACTGCACCAATCAATTTCTTAGATGAAAATAATAAGATTTAAGATCTAACCATATAGTATGTTATGATTCATCATTTATTCTTATCCATATAAATAATCCATTTTTATGATATCTTTTTTTTTATTTTATTTTTCATCAATATGAAACTAAATATATGCTCATCAAAATGACTCCTTTCAATCCAATATATTCTCTGCATCTCTCATCACTTTCCCTACCACCACCAACCTTCACCAAACTCCTCCTTTGATCCCACCTCACCATGTTCTTCTTTCCTTCCATATCACATCACACTCTGCTCCCACTTCTTTTTATGAATCCACAGCTGTAAATTGGCCATCTTCAGCTCTGTCATTGGCAGATTCACCATCACTTCACCATTGACATTGACCTGCAACCACTCTAAAACCTTTTCTTCCATATCATGATCCTCAGATAGTGATGGTGGCAACCAGGAAAGGGGATAATTTTGAGTCAAGACTTATACTTTGTGACAACAAGATCCTGTCACACAGGAAGAAGAGATTCCTTTTCCTTGGCACAATCCAAATGGCATTCAATAAATATATGAAAAACCTTCAATATATTTTGAGCCTAAACATGAATGTTATTTGGGAAGACTCAGAACATTGTGGAATGGTTTTACAAGAACAAACCTTCTTTTCATTCACTGAGAGCTCGACATGCAAGTCAGAATATATCAGATCTGTTGAGTTCAAAGAGACAATAAACATTACATGATACTTTCTACCTGCTGTGGGCATGGAAGGTAGATTTAACAGATGTCGAGGACAAGGAAGAAGCTGCTCTCTCTATCTTCTTACAGTGATGCTTATGATACTTTGGTTTGGTGGAATTATGAGATCACTGGCAGAATTATGGCCGCAGTATATTAGTGTCAGTTTGTTCATTGATTATTCGAATTGTCAGCTTCATGATCTGATCCTTTCTCTGTAGAAAAGAGCGAAGCTAAAAACGGAGCCAGCTGTGGTGCTCGAAGGTCAACATTGTAAGATTCTCTCTTCTATAGTTTAGTTTTAGTCAGGAGAGGACATAGCATCTGCCGAGGTATTAGGTCACCAGTTTGTCATGAAGATTCCTCTTCATGTAATAGTTTAGAGTTACTAAGCTTATATGATCTTTAAGTTTCAAAAGACATGTCTAAAATATTAAAAAGCATCAAAGGGCTTTTCCTTTGTTTCGATAAAAAAAAATTACTATGACAAAATGTTGAGATGTATGTGTGAGAAATCACCGGAAAAAAATATGAAATTAAATATCTTCGTTCATAAACATTCGGGTGTAGCTTCGATATAAGATGAAATAAAAAAAAAAATTTTACCGGTTTCGAGTTACATTCGGCCTCACATTATTATGATTTTACTACAGGAAGCTAAAAGAGTTCATCAAATCTCTTCACTTACATGCTCAAGAGGGATAATCTTGACCCAAGTTCTTTATTTTTATTTAAATTCTTATCAGTTTTTCTGATCAGATCTATTGAATTCATGCTTATCTTCTAACAAGTTGTCCTGTTGAGATTATGTTACATGAGTTGTCACTCATTTACTGATATAGAGCTGTATTAATCATCTCCAAATCTTGTAAGACATTATGTGGAAAGGTGATTAATTCAGCACAGGTCCCTGTCCTTCAAACTGGAACCCACAGATTTAATTGGAGATGAAGAAACTTCAGTGCAGTACCCTGCATGAATAATCTAGCTCATTTCAATCTTTCACACATCTAAAAGATGCAAGCATTCAAGCCTCATAATTATGATGTTCTACAAGTGTCTGCATATTTTTTTCAGGTGGCTCTGCTCTATGCTGTTTTATTGAGTAGCATTAAGTATGTAATCTCACCTTGATTTTTATGAACTAATGCAAATGATGAACAATAAGATACAGCCAAGCAGAAACTAGTTGGTGAGTCCTTATTCAATTAGTCTGTCGATGATAGATAACACTCTATTTCTACAGAATTTTGTTTTGGTACTTTGATTAATAGTTTGATTTACTTGATATTATAACAATCTTCTCAATCTGTAATGGAAGGTGCATATATCAGCATAATGATCTGTCGATGATGATATGGAAAGCATCAAACTTGGCAATGATTAGGAAATAATATTGCAACCAGATATAGCTTCTCTAATCTACTTAACTTGATCCAAGTTGCATCAAGGGAATATTTGGAAATAAGACAGTCTTCATAGAAAACAGAATGCTATAAAGAAAACATACTAACAGCATGGTAATATGGTCACAATGTTGAATCACAACATCTTGTTTCTTCTTCAGCTGAGAATATAGAGCTTCAGAAAAGTGCATAGAAACTTATTAGTCTGCATGCAACAATTATTTGATTGCATCCCACATATAAAATTTACATGGCTTTGTCAACAAGCTAATCATACAACACACATAAAGACCTTATCTTTGTTGTCCTCTTTATTCTTTGAGATCAGACCAGATGATTGGAGAAAATGGTCTGGAGGGGGATAGGCAAAGACAATGAATATATAGATATATAGAAGTAGCACTGGAATCATGGATTTTTCATATCCATCCTGTGATGAATCCATTGACATTCTGTGCCATGGCTTGACTGTGCGATGGATCTGCAGAGGCTGGATTGAATCTGCAAGTCCGGATCAGAACAGGAAACTTAGCCACCACAATGTTGTACTAATTGTGTGGATTGTTTCAGGAGTTTGAGCATTACCTGATTTGCAGTGAAGGATCACACGCCAGAGGCTGAAAGAACTGTTCGGGTCGAGGAGGCACATTGACAGTGTTGCTGGCACCGATTTGCGACGACAGTTGCAGCAAATTCTCGGAACTAACTTCTTGCAACTATGTTAAGAAACCAAAAGGAAAAAAAAAAAATAAGTGACTTTTGTCATCATTTCTGATAAAAGAATTTTGTTTACATCTTGGTATCAAAAGAAAGAGAGGGCTCCTCTGATTAGGATATCGGAGAAATAGCAAAAAAAAGCCTCAGATCTATGTGCAGAATATTTTGTCGACGAGAAGAATAATGCCACTAAGTGGCATCTCACAAGAAACAAAGAAAATAATCTGAAGGAAATGTTCTTGAAGCTTGCAAGAGTGAGATCCATGTGCAAGCCAAGAGAGAATAATGTAAAACTTGTACAATCTTATAAGATGAAAGGCTTCAAAAAGGAATGCATTTATTGCCCAAAAGAACAGGACCTGAAAAGATCAAGCCAATGGGCAACATATAGTTATCTTTTTGCATCAACATTTAAATCTTAAACATTGGCTACAAACATGAATCTAAAATATAGATTCAAAAGCTGACTTTGAGGGAAGAACCTCTTGTACCTTTCTTCTTAAAGTTTTGTTGGATTCCAGCAACATGTGTTCCTGCACAGAGATAACTTGGTTAAATCAAACTTAATACATAATTGATCATGCAAAATCAAACTCAATCCAGGCATTATCAGAATTGAAGTAAATTACCTTATGCTTGAGATCCGAAAGCTGATCGATAATTACTTGGGTCTGCAAGCATAGGAGGAAGCATTAATAATCAGTCATTCTAGTGAGCGAAGGGACCTATCTACATCCTCTTCATTCTCAAGAAGCATTATTGTATATCTTTGAGGAATATTTGAAGGCATAGCCTAATGTCAGAAGCATTAATCATGGATTGTGAGTGCTTAACATCTGTTGCTGAGTACCTTTGTTGATCTGATGTGCCTTAGAGACATCTCTATCTGTTCCTCAAGTTGATCAAGCTCTTTAGTATTTAGGTCATCTAAATCTTCACCAAGCAGGTTTCTACAATGACATAGATAGCATTTCATTACCAAACAAACACTTGCTCCGACACAAAAAAAAGTAGACAAAAATATGAACTTGTATTCCAGTAAACAACACAGAATCTTCATCAAAGAACAGAGTTCCAAGTACTACTTCTGAGAATGTTGTAGATACTCGACTCGAGCTTTCAGCTTCAAGTAGTCCTGATAAGTATTCTGCTTGAGGCCACAAAAGCTAAACATTGTCAGGTGGTTAAACATAAATGCAGCTATTTGAATGAATATTTTGGTTAAAGCAGTGTTAAGCAGAATCAAGTTGACAAGTAGAGTTCAAAATGTGCATAATGCTGTTCAAGAGAATGGTTTCATCTGTCGGCATTAGTTCTTTTACCGATAAATTTAAGATCTTGTTTCAACTTAAGCCAAAAAAAACAGTAATAGTCATCGATGTCAATTAGTGCAACATTGCTAATCAAACAATCGACTCCGAAAAGATAATACTTTTCACTTCAAACTCAGCAACAACAACAAGAAGAAGCTATAGCTAATCAAACAATCGACTCCGAAAAGATAAAATTTTTCACTTCAAACTCAACAACAACAAGAAGAAGCTATAGTGACGACCTCAAACAAAAAACTCACCACTAAAACAAAGATTTCTTGGCTTCTAGACCACCTTCATAACAGAAACTAGTGTGCAAAGCAGCATAAGCAATGAAATGCTGCATGACAACAAACACAAGCGCATTTATCCTCAACTCAAGGATAGTTGGGCATCGCTCACGCATACGATCCCTAAGCTACGGTTGGAGGAGCTTTGATATTATTACATGTTGATGACCTATCTACAACTTCAAGAAAGAGCATCTTCATCTTCATTATCAACAAACAAATGAGAACAAAACAAGGAGTAGCCACTCTAGATTGAGATGAAGATCTGCTAAATTTGATGATCCAAGACATTACCCAAAATGTTTATGGGAAGCCGGTAAGTGACAACTCATGGTCGATCCAGCATCGAGAAAAGAAGAACTCCACAGGTATATCAGATCTTTGCCAGAGCAAGTTTCGGCATGCGACGAACTTGAACTCACGCAAATCATGTTTAATTGGGTTGTTGTTCTTGTGTCAAATGATTCAGTTAACTGTGCCAAGGCTTCTATGTCAGCATTCCAGTTTTGCATATTGAAGCTATAATTATATATGTTTTGTATACCTCCAGAAACAAAATCAGCACTCATATTCAACAATTTGTTCTTGCTGATCTAAAGAGAGAACAGAAGCTTCTGACTCATTTCTCGTATATGTATCAAAAGAAGCCATTCTAAGCAACGCAGAGAGTTCAAAGAACACCGAAATCGGTCATTGTTAATGAGGACAGGATTCACCACATCCCAAGAACATCCACATGAAGCTGTATCTACTTTCCAGAGGAATGCATACAGATTCATCAAATGCCATGCCAAGAACTGACACAGCAAGGCATGATAACATGAAGAAAAATCTGTGTCATGGAGCTACTGTGATTGTGAGAGTCATCTACCTGTGTCTCATTTGATGAAACCATGGCTTCTGATGCATTGTAGCTGCACCTATGGTACCTTTCAATTGTTTTGAGCAAGCTGCATGAAGTAGAGCAGAAGTCAAATCCGGATCAAAACTTACAGATATGAGTTCTACATAAAATGTCAACATATTGATCACCGAATGAGGTGAGAGGTTGAAAAGAAAGAGATTGTGAGGGCATTGAGCTGTTGGAGAAGAGTTATTTTCCAGGGAGTACAGCCTTCTGGTTTGCCACTGAGCTCTCTGTACTTGCACAGGCTTCTGTTTTGATATATTTTCCTCTTCTTTTTTCCCGTCCACAGTTCCCTGTACTTGCAATCCTTTTCTTGCTAACATATACAATGGATAATGGAATAGAGACTGATCTCATGGACTCAGACAATCTCATCAAACCATGTAAAAACATGTCTTCATTCGATTCTGCTGTTCTAATTAGATGTCGGTCTATCAAACTCAAACAGCAGGGATGAACGGAGAATCCAAACCTTGTCGGCCATCAACATCAGGACTGACGGACTCCCAAACTGAGCTTGTTGGGATCGCAGGGAAGAAGATCTACTATATCGATCGAGCTATGATTAAAAACCCTGACTCTCATCTGACCAGAAAGGAAAAAGGAGAAATAAAAGAACCAAACAACATCAAACCACGGCCTCAAATTAAACCTTCAAACCAATTTACGATGCATCCATTGCTACCGCTTTGACAGGTTTCCAACACTGCCAGCTTTGTTGGGATGGTTTTCTCTTTTTCTTTGATGTAACAGTTTTGCTTTGAAGTGAGACGCTTTTAATCTGGTGATGTAGGAATCTAAATCATGCTCATAAACAGAATCAGACGGAGTCATCCATCCATCTTTCCCAACAAAAAGGATAGGAATGCCAACCATCGGTGAGTCCTGGCACAAGCGACGAAGAAAAACGTGGTAGAGGTGTACGAAGAACGAAATCTGCGGCGGTCATGAAATGAGTCGTGAGGAATCTTGGGGATGTAGGCAAAAAGCCATCAAGAAGGCAAAGAACAGGGATGAACATGTAGCTACAGAAGGGTAGAGTCCAAGAACAAGGGATAACATGAGATAAGCGCAGTAGATCTGGATGAAAGAAATGGGAGGAGCTCCCATCAGATCCACCTCTAAAGGACATGTTCCCTTGACGCAAAGATCTCTTGAACGAAGCACAAGGCTCTAATCTTCCTCGGAGGACCAAGAACAACATAGGAATCTCAAATGGAACAGTAAGACCTAAGATCGAAGCACCATGGAAGAAACCCTACTCATTTCCCACCCAAATCTCCATTTCTTGACCACCAAATCTCAAGAAACACGTGCCTCTTCTCAGCCAGGAGGACGGCTTGTTCTTGAATCAAGAACGAGGGTAAGCGAAAGATCCAACCCTTGGGACATGAATCTTCGGGAGCTGTCATCAAGAACTAGGAAAAGAAGGGGGAGAGAGATCGAGGAAGAGGAGGTCAGGAAAAGGAGAGAAGTAAGAGAAGGCGAGCTGTCCTCTTGTCGTGAGTCGTCTAGTCAGTGGAGTTGCCGTCGACTTACGTACCTGGAGCTGCTGCAGAACTCGAAGAGCCTGCCGCGGCTGGAGAAGATGATGACCCCCACCTCGGCGTCGCACAGGATGGACAGCTCGTAGGCCTTCTTCAGCAGGCCATTCCGCCGCTTCGCGAACGTCACCTGCCTGTTGATCTTGTTCTCTATCCTCTTCAGCTCCACCCTCCCTCTCCCCATGACGACGTACACCGGTCTCCTCTTCCAACTCTCTCTCTCTCTCTCTCTCTCTCTCTAACAGGCAGTTGACAAGATGATGCTAATGCATGCTTGCAATCACGGGATAAGAAGAAGAAATCTCACTTGACATCCTTCGTTGGCTTTGGATGAGGAATGATCCATCACTCAACCTACGGCAATTCTTGTATCATACCGTGACAAGAGAACGTCATCCGGTGATCCTCTTGACGAACACGTGTCGAGCGAACGAGGTCTCGATGCATGGATGAGATTGCCACTGGGTTTGGAGGGCGATTACGTGCTGCCGATGATTACAGTTGATGGTTAGGGTTTTTGGGATGGAGACACGCAGCGGAAGGAATGTGGCTGTGAGAAGACTTCGTAGTATGATGTGCTGTCTTATCTTTCGGCAAATGCTTGTGAGATCGACATGATACAACTCAGAGCATCAAAAGAGAGGTTTGGATTAATTTCTATCTGGAAACTGATGCAAAGGTATGAGATATCCATGTTCTTCGTGTTTATGTGAAATATATTCTCCTCCATTCAATAGAACTTCTTTCTCTCTTTATGAATCACGTCGAATTAACGAATAAAAGGAGACAAATTTCGTAGAAAAAGAATGATTGGATGAAAGAATATATGTTTTCCTTTGGACAGATAAGACTGCTTGATTCTGAGTTTACGTGATGTGAGACTTGATGAGTCATGTAATCGTACAGCCTAAAAAGAATATGATACCGTTCTTTAGATGATACTGCATGTTTCACTTTTAGCTAGCAATTTACATTGGAGACTAAAGTTGTGTGTTCTAAGTTTGATAAACCTGAAAGAACCTTTGCAAGTTAATTAGATCGTAATCCAACCTTAAACTTGTCTCATCACAATCTTCTTTGTGATTTAAGAAACTATTACAACTCTCATTTAATATTTGAGTCATTCTAAAGTGATCCTTCAAGGAGAAAAAGGCTAATTATCATGCAAAGAAGTTGGACATTGTTGTCATGACCAAACTCTCCCGGAGTACCTCACCATTTGTCCATGAAAAGGAGACGTGTAGTAGTAGTCCTCATGGAAATGACTTGATGACAGGACACTTGATGGGCATATGTTCCTAAGCTAACAAGTCATGGAATTCAGATATATTCTTTCATCAACGTTACTTCAAATCCATTGGGTAATAATACTTGTTTGTCACTCTAAAAAGCGTTTACCCTTATCGATTGACACCAAAATCCCATCGACTACATGACATTTTTTATTTCATTAATTATTTCATTAATCTTTTTTATCTTGGCATGGAGCTGATTAATTGATCCAAATGGAACAAGAAAACACCATCTCTTTTTTCTCTTTGTTTTTACTCTTGACATGAAGCCGATGTGAATGCCTTGGCAGTAATTAGGTCCGCTTATAAGTATATTGAGTTCATCCATGCACACATGCTTGTGTCGTCGTCGTCAGTACTCTCTCTCTCTTAGAGTCTCTGTTTTCCCATCGTTTTGGTTGTTCCGAGGAAGAAGAGGAAGAGAGCGGGAGATGGGAGGCAGGAGCACGTTAGGGAAGGCCAAAGGTGGGGAGGACGGTGGCGGGACCCGCCGTGCACGGAGCAAAGGGAGAAGGGCTCGAGGCGGGCCTCCATCACTGTTCCGTGGTCTACAGTCGTCCCGTTGCCGTATGCGACGCCTTCGACCGATCCCGTCACCAGAGTCGCTGTTCAACTCGTCCTTGCGCGTGTTGGCTGTTCCCCCCTGCGGGCTGAGGCCGACGCTTCGGGTACTGCTCTTTTCCGACTTCACCCACGACTCAATTCACACCCCATGAGACGCGTTAGCCCGTGTCAGTCTTCCTGGCGTTAGCGGTACCACGAGTCGCGACAATAGTAGCTGCCCGAACATTCCTGTGCTTTTCTTTTTTCAGTAAAACTATATATATATGTTATTATTATTATTAGTCATCTCTATGACAATGCGCTAATTGAATATGCAAGAATATGTAATTTATGATGGTTAGGGAATGAATATAATAAAGGAAAGTTTCTTAAGGCACATTCTAATTCTAAATTCTAAACATCGAGAACTTGTATTATTTCAGATATAACAATACTAAATACAAAAAAAAGAGATCAATTTGAATCACGTTAGATCGGTCAAGATTGATTCTCAGTCGTCGTTCCCTAGGTCGGGAGAAAAGGAGTGACTAAAGTCGTGGTCGCACCTGACACTGTCGTTGTCACCTCGAGCAGTCACGCCTCATAATTGTACAGTAGACGTGGAATTATGAGTTGCTGACACGGATGTCACATCCGCCATCACTCTCTTCTGCATATATATTTCTTTCCTTTCATTTTCACCCTCAATATTTCTTTTTTTTCAAAATTCTCAAAATACTATATAATTTTGCCAGCTCTTTACAGTGTTTTATGAGTTAATTTTTATTCGTAAAAATATTATGTAGTATTTTTTAAAAAAATATTTTTTTATTTTTTAAATTAAAAATACTGTATAATATTTTGTTGAATTTGAGCGAAAAAATATATAATAATAGTTTTAGGATTTTTAATATGTGATTAGTTTGATCTACAAAAAATGTCTTTGGAACTTATAATTGCTCACACAACTCAATTCTTTAGTCATTAATTGACACCATATCGTTGGTTTAATAAATGAAAAGTACTTTGATAAATAAATAAACAAAGAAATTCCTATATCAATTCATAGCAACATGATCATACTTGAATTAGATTGGCAGATTTGGTCACTCCACATCACTTCCGAGTTCATCTTTTCGAGTTGTTCCCTATCTTTTGACCCATCATGCTCATGTTCTCCACCACTGAGCTCTGTACTCGCTTGCTCCCACATCAGGACTGTTGTGGTGGCTTTCCTGTGGCATCCAAGTGTGGCGAAAGTAACTCGATGCTCCTCCTCGGGCTGTCAGCCTGCATCGGGTGCAGCAAAATGATGGCAGGGCAAGTGAGATGAGGTACCAAATGCCAGTTCAAACTGAGGCTCCTCTCCAACTTTGTTGAGCACACTGAAACACTTTTTAGTCTCATTGTCAATCCAAGTTGTGTATGGTCCAAACACTTTGCAGAAATTTGAATATCGTTGAGAGTCAAGAAGAAAAGATTGACGTCGCGAGCTTTTTGAGTGAGTTCGTTCAACCTCGAGGTGGAAACGTATAGTAAGGAGAAGAGAGAGAATCCCATATAGGAATCCATGTTGATTGATTAGGTGAATATTTTTCATTGTCACGGACTTAACTAGAATAAACTAAGTCGTGAGGTACTCTTGCGGTAAAGACGCGAACTTAAGTTGAGTTACGTAAGTCATGAAATACCCTCGCACAAACTACTCGGACTTAACAATGATTGCCTAAGTCGTGACGTGCCTTTGCGATATGCATCCGTAAAGGATCTATCAATTTGCAATCTCACTCAAGTCTCGAAAGATCTGTAAAAGAGAAAGTTGATTAATTCGAAAATGAGTGACGGATAAATCTCGACGTCTCACGGAAAGGAAAGCTTTACAAGCAATTCAGTGAACACCTTGCATGCATAAGAGAAAAAAAGAGAATAAGGAAAACAATGACTTTAGAAGGTAAAATGAATAATTCACTGGGTGCCGGACGCGAAGGCAAATTCTCATCGAGTTAACGTGAGTATGGTCTATCGTAATTCATGGTGATTAATACTCAGTACATGATAATAACGCACAAATTTCACTGACCAGCAAACATGATATGAAAAAGCTTGGGATGAGACATCAGTGAAAGACCACTAATATTTTTCTAGGGAATAAAGACTTGGGACTGGGACTCATGTCTTCTTTTGTGCAATCAGATGGACCATGTACAAACACTTTTTATCATCTACAAGCCATTAAGTTGCAGAGAGACAGCTGAACAAATGCATGTTTCTGCAAAATAAAATGACTTCAATAGCATGCAGGATTCTGAGTGAACACCATATCCCTCAATTTCTTGGTTTAGAGTCCAACTGTAATAAATCCTCTGAAGTTTATATCACACGATTTGCAAGTAGGTAAAACTAAATACCAGCCACGAAATCCTAAGACAGTCTCATGTCAACCACTGCTTCAGTATGCAAGTTAAACCATCAATTCACATTGTGGATGCTGCCTAACAATTCCACATCCTAGGCAGTAAACATTGCGCAAAGCACTGAAGATCTGACACTGGCTGGCACAGGAAGAGATCATCAAATCATCACAACTAGTATTTATTTTCTTCGATAAATCGAGACATCGACATTGCCGAATATATAAATTGCGACATCAACATTACCAAATCCGGCGATTTCTGAGCATTAGGGTGTGTGCACTCACACGGTGAGGATATTGTGAAGCTTCGTGAATTGCTTAACTCTGGAAATATCAGATATAATCCATAGTTACATACAGCCTCAAAACGACCTGTAATGTACAGTTATTGATAACAGCATTATATTCAAATCAGTTTCTAATCAACCGAAAATTTCTATGCTTGAGCATTATGGGATTTGCATACAAGGAGACGTTCTTCACAGAAGATACCTACCTGAAAGGCTTAAATCTGGGAGACATCAGGATATGACAAAATTTTCTGGATGTTCGAGCTATAATTCAGACTCTGAGTCAACAACGATAAGTTTCAAAGGAAATCAATTCTTATTAGCTGATGAGAGATAAGCGATAAAAGAAATCAACTGAATAGATTTTGCATATGTATTCAACATATGTACCAATAGTTCTGATACAGTTGCAAATGAGAAAGGAAAAAAAAAATCATGTGGAGTAGAAGCTACCTCATGAGTTTTATTATCTGTCACATGAAAATTATAGTACCAGCACATATATGAGGACATGAGTGGACAAAACCTTAAAAGTATTAAAGTGAACTAAGTGCATTGGAACTACTCTGAAAAGGCCTGGAGTTGAGCAAAATAAGTTACTAATATTCTTCGGATACGATAGCCATATTCTGAAGAGTGCATCCTTGTTGTGGAAGTACCACGTAGATGCACCGCCAGACCAGGATATGACCGCTATGCCAACCCAATTGTTGGTTTCATTGATGTGATGAACAAGCATAATTCGCACAAAATCAGAGCTATCCCGGAGAGAGAGGAACATATTCCTTGTAGGCCAATAAGCAAGCACATTTATCTGAAAAGCACAAAATCATGACATGCTAGCACCCCTTTGAACAAGATAACTACATCAGCATATGTGCATCACAACATGAGTATAGTTCGAAATGAAAGGCTAAAACAATTATTGTTGTTTAACCAAGTAGATTGTGTTTTTTCCCCCTTTTTTCAGGATAGACTTCAAAAATATCGTGTCAATGACAAGAAAATATTATACATGATAAGCAGCTCCGGAAAAAGATTAAACCAATTTTTTAAAAGCACATGGGAGAGCATAAGTTGAAAGGAACAAAAAGATGAATACAATATCAGTGTTCAACTTATAGTGCCAAAACTCACGGAAGCTTGGAACAGTTAGGACATGGCAAGCGCCCCTTCGATTGACATTTGATGCATGGTACCAATTGTTTTGGTGTATTTCTGTCTTCCAGAGATTCATAAATCTCTTCCAGCACTCTGAAGCCAAAAGCTCCTCCTTTCCTAACTGAGCCTATTCCTTTGCACTGCGAGCATGCTATCATCCTTAGATTGCCACATCTCTTACACATATCCAAAGACCTGTAATAACTGAATGGAATGATTGCAAATAAAAAGAAAAACAAAATTTTATAACTCGACAATTTTTTTCCATCATGGACATCTATATTAGCTTCAAGAATCTATATCCAACTCATGTAAGGACTAAGCGAAGTTTTTCCTTACATGTTAGACACAGCAGAGGTTTCAAACAGAAACCAATTTGCATTGGGTAAAATATCTCACATGATTGTAGCAGTATGACATAATAGTGCTTCTACTTACATCATGAGCACAATTAATTACGACTGAATTTTAGCATAAATTCCTTCCAAATAATGAATAGGAACTGAAAAAGGTATGAATTAATCTGCTTCAGATCTTGTACTTTCTCACTGAAGCCAGTCCTCTAAAAGAAAGAATGGAAAGTTTACCAACAAAGAACTAGTACAACTCTTGTAGGTTCCATATGAGTTCCATCAAGAAACGGAAAAAGTTGATGTCAGGAAGTAGGATCCTATGTATTTTCTTTAAATCATAGTTTCTTAATTACAGTTTTGGAAACCAAAATTTCTATGTGATTGCAATCATTCTAGCTTTCCAGTTGCGATAAAATTTATATTGTTTTCTATCATTTTCAGAGGAGAGCAGAGCAAAACAATTTCCTCATTTTGGTTACTCTTGGAAGGCAAAGCACGGAACTGCTTGTTCAACCCAAACAATCCAATTGTGAGAACTTAAAAACAACAATCTAGACCATCAATTTCCAAAGGTTGTGTATCCTCTAAAGACATCGTGAAACAATTAAACATCAAATTTCACATGAAAAATACATGTCAATTTTCTTCTCCATGTCACAGATCTTATTCCAGCTCAACTATGTATAAGCAGCAATACCGATAAATTCAAATGACTTCAATCATCAGAAGACAAATAACTCCTACTATAATGACAGCCATAATCATTTGTAGTATTATCGTCACTTTTATTATGTTTCTCATTTATTATCGATCTTAAGTCATTGCTGATATAAGTGCTTTAAACATGTAAAGGACTGGATATTAGTCACGCAAACTAACGAGTCTTCTCTCTTCCCTTGTCTAACACGATAAACAATCAAAATAATAGCACCAATTGTCAACGATCATCAAGCTAATAACGCTAAATAACAAACAAAAAAGCTATGAACAGCTAAATTGCTAAGCATTGCAGCCTTACGATTAGCTGTCAGTGCAGCAACCATTATATCTACTGAAACATTGCTAAGAGAAAGATTACTTGTGAATCTAATTTGACCTGTTCAAGGGGACATTTCAAGGAAAGGTAGGAAGTGTGTTTGCCTGAAGATATGGGGACTGACCTCCTCTGAGAGGCTGAGATGAAGGCATCAACTCTTGGGGCAGCTATGGTGGCGCACAACAGAAGCGCCCCCACCCCGAATCCTGCAATCTCGCTCGCTGTGAGATTCTCCATACTCAGATTGATGGTAGCAGCGAAGGGTGATGAAGCTGCTCGGTAGAAGAGCAGCAACAGAGGCGGGCTTCATCAGACGGAGGTGGATAAGGTCATATAAGCTTGTGGACGAGGCGTGGGGATCCCCTACAATTGCTGCGCTTGGTAATCGGACGTTTCCTATTTTTAAATGGCGCGTGGGTTCCACCCGGCTTACGGTTCCGATATGAGAACATGGTTTCTATTTAATACTGGATTTGGAGAGGATCTGCCACCTCCAGCGCGTATACCCGGCCATGACCGGCTTAGGGTTCATGTTTCTGGCTTCCGGTTTCGGCGACGATCTCGTGTTGGAACACTTTGCGGGTTGCTCGATTCAACGAATCGATCTCGGCATTTGACCGAAGTGTTCCTCTCGGTTCCGAAACCCTAGAAAAGGTCTCAGCTTTTTCGGTGTTTGGATCTCGTTTTAGATCATCTTTCTTCTTGAACTGAAGGCGTAGCTGTAATCTGATGCGGCTTGGAAGAAATTTCCAAGTGATGAAACTTTCCATGTAGAGATGGATGAAAGAATTATAAGCAAAATTTTATTTTCTTTCGTCCTCATAAAATGATTTAAATATCCTTTAATATCAAATTATATTTTATTATTTTTAAAAAGATTTCTCATAGTAAAGAGATTGCCAATAACAAACTTCATTAAAAATTAAGAATATTTTGATGTGACATGTGAATAAGATGGATATCAAATTGTTTCCTCTTCTCAGAGCTTCAACTTGAACACATCTCTTCTAAGCTTGTAACAGAGTGAAACAGCAGGAATGCCTACTAATAAGTAATGGCTGCAAACAAACAGTCTCAAAGTTCAGATTACAATTATAGAAGAGATCCACTGAAGCCAAAAAGACAGGTAGGTAAGTCAGCTACTTGACAGCACAAAAGAGCTCATAAGGAGGACTCCAAAGTCTTGATTTGAGTCACAACATGATATATTTCTAAGGAAAGAAACCATCCAACTCCACCACATGGAATCATTGAGCATCACCATCATGCCAACCTATAACCAGCAACTGGGGGATAAAGTGCTTTATTGTCATATTGTAGTCCAAGTATAAGAAAACACTGAGTTCACTAAATGGGAGGGGCAAAATACCAAGCCACCATAAAGGGTACTTGAGAAGAGTTAAAAAGAGAGTGAAAATGAAAATAATTGCGTATGGATATGCTGAAGTCCAATGATCCTAACTGAAGAATTGTGGTGGATTAGGTGATAAACTTTGGACGCAATATATTCTATTTACCCTTAGCAGCGCCATTGGGTTTAACAGCAGCTGAACTGCCAGGATTCTCAGATGGGTTGAGCTCATCCCAAGCCTCAATCCATGTGACCATGGCATCGGCGAGCTTATTGAAGTAGTCATCCACCTTTCCAAGCTTTGCCTTGACCAGCTTAGAGAGCTCAAGATAACACGTCTGTACTGTGGTGCACTCCTTGGGAAGGACAGCAGTTTGGAAGAAGGGGATCAGCTCTTCTTGCCAGTAGATCCCCTTGTATTCCTTTTTAAGGTTCACAAAAGGATTGCTCGCCTTGCTGTGCCAAATGTAGGGCAAGCCTGTCTTCACGCCCAAGCCTAGGTGGTCGCAGATCACCTGAAAAACACCAAACTTAGATGGCAATACTGAAGGAATACCAAGAACAGATCAAATACAAGTTCCCACAAAGTTTTAATCAAATTGAACAAGACAGTGAAACAACGTTATCATAAAATAGAAAGATATTTAGAACTGAGAACACAACAGTAAAAGGCAAATCAGCCAACCTTCATACACCATCCTGCCCACATATCATCATAACGTCCAATAGGCTGACCATCACCCATGAGTCCAAAATACATTGCAGGGCCAATAAGCTCACGATTGAATGCCAGATTCATCCCGCACATGGGAAATAATGTTCCCATTGGCACCGTGAGAACCGCATCAACATACCTGATACACAGATGTTATTAAATGTACAAATAACCAGCAACAGAAACTTGAACGTCTATCTTTATATTTATCACCTTTTATTTCTCTCAAGAGGTTTAACAAGTTGTGTCGGGGCATCATAGTCAGGAATGTTAAGCCAGAGACCATGAGAAACAGCAGTTTGTACTCCTTCACGAAGGCTGAAAGGATAGCCGCGAACAAAATCTGCACCTTCACGGTAAGGGTCATATAGAGTATTAAAGAAGAATGGGGTTGATGGGGAAAGGAGATTCTTTATGTGTTGCTCAAGTGCATTAATCTCCTTGCCGGATGGATCTTTCGCAACCTATTTCAGAATATAGGAGGTGCCACAAAAGTCAGTTTAAATGTAAAATCTCTACAACAACAACAAAATTATAAGTCCCAACTATTTAGGATCGGCTACATGGATCTTTTGCCACCATTGATATTGGTAAAAAGTCATATCCTTAGTTAAGTTTGAGTACTTGGGTCTATATTTATAGTTTCTATTGAATTCTTTATATGTTTTCCTTTAACTCTCCTCCTACTGCTAACATTAATTATTTCACCTCTTTTAACTAATAAATAATTAAAAAAACTCTTCTAACAAATAATTAAATGATGTAATAACATAAACAAGAGGAATAACTAAGAAAGAAACTTAACAGATGATAATAATCTTTACTAGTAAATAATTGAATGGTGTAGTAGTAAAGACAATAAGAATCATAGGGAAAGATGGAAGTGCACAACGTTGACTGGTAATAGAGACAAATAATGTCAATTTTGTTTGATGGAAATGCCTCATGGAACAATCGTCAATCAAGATCTAAAGGTCAAGGGTATTACAGTTAATTTTTGCACTTTCATGCATTGACATTCTAGTTAATTTATTGAACACAAAAAAGAACTACAAGACTGTATCAAGATGTTAATTGTAAGAGAAGAGAAAACCAATGACTACAAGAAATCAGCATGAGAACAATCCAACAGTGACTTCTACTAATTCACCGCATTTGCATCTGAACCACACAGCAATTGCTAGACCCAGCATACAGTAGTTCCCATTGAAACTCTTGAATGTTAGTGTAAGGACAACAGACTTGCTTAAAAATATATTACAAAAATGGTGGCTTAATGCTTTGTTGATAGGAAAATTAATTGAAGGAAAGAACATTGATCAGAAAATAGAAAGAAAAAAAGGTTGAAATCTACCAGAGCAAATGAATGTGGCAGATCCAACAAGAAAGTTTATAGAAGTTAAACTACTGGACTGATCAGGAAATACAGCAGAAAAATTGCGTAAAGTTACTCATGGACAACATTAATGCTTGAAAAATGAGTGCCCTACATTACTAAGATTTGCTTAGGAGTTTGGAGATTCTGCCAACACAACAAATTGCAGATAATTTTAAGTAGGTCATATCTATCTCATATTAATAACTGCCAAAATAGCAATTTTAAGCAGATAAGAAAAACTGTTTTCTAAAATCAAGCACGAATTTTGAAAAAGAAGAACAGAAATGAAACAGATCCACGAAACAGACCAATAAGTCAACGGCATCACAACAAAATACAAGTGAAAAATCGAGTCTTGTCCCAATTTCCCAGAGGAGCCATGACTCTCTCTCCGCATGAAAAGAACAGACAAATAATGAAAATGGGAGAAAGGGAAGACACTAACGAAGCAGTCGTCGTCGATGGTGAAGATGTACTTCTTTTTGGAGATCAAGTAACCGAAGCAGCGGCAGGCGGAGTCCTTGAAGGAGATGCAGGCGGCCTTGGGGCCGAGGATGCGGTTGATGTCGTTGCGGTTGTAGAGCTTGTAGTCGAAGCCGTCGGGGACCCTGATCGTCTTGCTGGGGTCGCCGTCCTGGACGATGATGAGGTGGTATGGCTGGAAGAAGGGGCGCCACATCTCCAGGAAGTCCAGGTTGCGGATCGTCGGGATCACGATGTCGAGCTCGTCCTTGAGCAGGGAAATGCTCGGCGTCGACGTCGACGTCAAGGAAGACCCGCTCACCATGTTCGAAGATCAGATCTTTCCTTTGGTGGGAGCGAGAGAGAGAGAGGAGGCCGACGAGGAGAAGAGAGAGATGGCTATGCGGCCTCGCCGTCTCCGCTCTCCCTCACCTTTGAAGTATGCCAATAATTATTTTATTATTTATCTAAAATATCTCTAATATTCTTATCATCGTAATCACAAGGTCTCTATTTTAATAATCAACAAATAGTAATGAATCGGTGATTTCGAGATCAATCCAACTCAATTCGATCATATTCGATGTAATTAACGAAGGTTTAACAATGTGAAGTTGTCGACATACCTTTGTCTCTCATACATAAGTCAATAATCGAGAAGTAATTTTAGTCAATAATAAGATTAATATTTTTTTATAGCTGAGTTAACATAGGAGAATATGAGTGGAATGTTCTCTCTATCTTATTATTTTCCATGTATGAGCAGAATATTTTGATGTTTATTGTGAGACTATCTTACCTCTCATTATTAAAGGTCAATATTTCTATGTTAATATAACTTGATTTGATAGGAATATATGTGAAAAACCACTTACAAGGTGAGCATCCAATCAATCTTTCAATATTAGAAAGTTAATTTTATAAAATAAAAGTAATAGGAAGAATATTATCGACCAATCATAATCTAATACATGATCTTCGTAAGATATTCAAATTAAAAGAAAATTAGATGTCGTCTCCTCTCTTATTGCTCACGGAGAGTCGGTTGGGGACTTTGTCCATAAAATATTTCATAGAATATTTTATCTATTTATAATCAGATATAAAATTTTATTTTTAATATAAATATAAGGGATCATTTTTTATCACTCATATCCACGCTCATTTACCTTATATTACTAGTTTGGGAGTGACAGGGATTACGTCTAAAAATCTCTCTAGACCTTAATCTTCGTATAGTTAATACATCCTGAGCTTAATATTTTCACTTAAGGAAAGACGTTAATGATTTTTTTATAATAAAAATGTCTGAAGCGATCCTTCCCTCATATTTTAATTTTATTTATCTTAATTTGATGCTGATGTAACCGATTAATAGAAACCATTGATCAATATGACGTTTGTTAGGGCACTTCATGATTAGTGTGGTTCTTTGACTACTTCGTGATCTAAAATAAGTCAACGGAAGAAGAACACCGAGTCACGGCGTGCGGTTGCGATCCACCAAAACGAAAAAGAGAGTTCAGCAACTCCACATTTTGATGCGTTGACCCAAAGCCACCACCACTGGATCGGGTGTCAAGTCAACTTCTTCATTGCTTGGGCGCTGCCACCAAGACCAATTGGAGCAGCAGTCGAGATCTTGTGGCAAACTTAGTCAACTCCTACCTTCCAATTCATATACACATGCCTTAACGAGTTGGGATCAAATAATATAGAAATAAAGCAAATTGAATTATAGATCTAACTCAGTTCGATTAAAATCAAAATCATACAATAATCGAATTGAGTCAAAATTGAAATCGAACTAATCAGACCCTTAGATTTGGTTTCGATTTTGGTTCGAATGGATAGTATTAGATTTTGAAAAAAAATCAACGGGGTGGCTATATTCCTACTCCGAATCTATTAAAATTTCAAAATGTAATGATAATTAGATCAAGATAATGAAACAAAAATAAGATATGTTCATAATGAATACGTATTTGATATATCTACTAAGGAAACAATCAGAGATATTCCATACTTATATGGACGATAATTTTATATTATTTTTTATTTCGTTAGACAAATTGCATATATTGAAATACATCTTCTTTTCAAAATGACATTATCATCCAAACTTAAAAATAAAATTATGATTTTTTGTTATTTTAAATTATTTTTAACTAAAAATTAGAAGTAAAAAAAATAAGAACCACCTCTTTGAACCGTAATAGAAATGAAGTAAAACTAACCTTGTGCGGTTTGATTCCAATCCCCAAAATTAGAAACTAGAATCATCGGTTCGATAACGGAGTTCATCCAGACCATACCAAATCAGGAATTAATATGAATTACTTGGATCGGGTCGGATTACAATTTGGGCTGAGTTCTTCATATCATCGATTCATTAATTTAATTTAATTAAACAATCGATTTGGTTCAATTTAAGTATACTAATTCTAATTTTTAATTTGGATTTTATTTCAATCTCAACTAGTCTATGGCACATGCAATCCTATAAACACATTTTTTCCCCAACTTTCCCTTTTTATTTCATCTTAAAAGTTGAATTTTGGGCAGGTGTTCAATTCACTTTTCTTCAATCATTTTTATTCTTCAAATCATTCAGGACTTTTCTTTATCGATTGTGTTTGATGAGGCTTGTAAATTAACCCTCTTTAGACCTCACATTAACGAGAGAATTATCCACCACTACACACCTTTATCTTTGGTTTCAATAAGAACATCAAAGCAACAAAACAGTCTTTTGTGTAACACAAATCCATTTTGTTGAGCATTTTGATACTTTGAAGATATGTTTTTCTTACTCTCATCATTATTCTGATGTTAAATTCCCACAGCATTCAGTGCATTTTGGTGAAGTTTCACTTGATGCTGTAAAAAGCACATTATCTCACATTTTTCATGTGAGAATAGAGTTGGTGCTGAAAGATTTACCCAAAAGGGATTCTGCACAATCTCTCTTGAACTCTCTCAAAAGAATCAGATGTGTTTAGCTGCTGTTATTTCTTGATATTCTACTTGATGAAGAGAAAAGAGTCGGTCCTTTTTAGAATTCATAGTTTTATTCCCATTCATCATCTGCAGCAGAAGATAAGAGGTTATGATGTTGCATTTATTAGTGAGCCTATTGTACTTCTGCACATGATGTCAATTCAGCAGATTGGATACGCGTATGTGAAGCCCATTGGGTGCTTCAACTCTCGGAAACTTCAATAGCTTCTGCCTTCCGACTTCTTCCCATCTGCATCAGGAAAACCACACACGATGATGTTGATCTGTTTCTGAAAACCTTGCATGAGGCTGAATCATGTTGGGAGTGATTGCATGATATGTTTTGTAATGCTTCCTTCCAAGATGCGCATGCATTCATGGAGAAGCTTGAAGACGAAGACGACACGGGCAATACCTGTACTTGGTGACGAAGTGGTGGAGAAATATTGCTATCTCTACTATTCCTAATTCTTTGCCTGGGCATAGCCTGCCACCACCTCCAAACTGCATGAAGCACTGGTTCGACTCCAAGCTTTGATCCTGTGTTTAGGTGAAGGAATGGCACAGTTGATGAGATGATCTCTCGATGAATGGACACAGAAAGAACCTCATCATGGTTTCTTACCATCCATCTCCAAGGGTTGAATTTGAATGGTTCTGGATAAAGGAAGGGATCATAGTTGTGCTCTCTGACGAAGACATAGATTCTCCACCCCTTTGGAACAACAAATCCTGACGAAGGAAGAAGAAATGTTATAGCTTTGCAGCAGTAACTAACGGAAGAGATCGGCAAGCAGACCTCCTATTTCCATGTCTTGGGTTGTCTTCCTCAGCACCCCATTGACAACCGTGGACAGCCTCAGAGTCTCAAAGATGACCTGCAGCATCGACAACAAGCGCACATGTGAGGCTGGTTTTGCTTGCTTGCTTGCTGATTAGATGGAAACCAAGGGAAGATCGAATGGGGTACCGCGCGAGTCAAAGTCATGGATTTGTAGTCATTCCAGTCCAGTGGATCATTTGCAGACTTCTTTTTCCTGATTGCAAAATGTTCATTCTACAAGCCAAGGAAATATGTGAGAAGAGACGATCAAAGGAAGAGTTACGACGCTTGAACCAGCTCTGATCATGTTACCCTCAATTCCTCGAGAACTTTTGGGTCATCATGGAGATACTTGACGCTCATCATCGTGGTGGTGGAGACAGTTTCGAACCCGGAGTAGATGAGGGTGAGGATCAGATCAATGATCTGCTCATCACTCAGCTTCGGTTTCGCGGGATCGTCAGGTCGCAGCAGGGAATCAAGCATGTCAAGCTGGGAGCTTGGAGAGGCTCGTCTCTCCTCCATGAGTTTTTCCAGCATGCTCACGACGCTTCTCCTTGCCTGCAGAAACCATTCGTCAAGAACGAATGAAAGAACACGCGGAAGCAGACAAAAACCAAGCCTCACCTGCATCCCACGGCGATAATTCGTGCCAGGAAAGTTCAAAGGCAAGGCTAGTGTTCCCAGAACAAGTTTGTTGATCTCCGACTTGAGATCCCTGGCCAGCGGACCGGTTTCGACGCTGGCAATCAGCTTCAAGGCCGAGTGCAGCCACAGCTGGATGATCGAAGAACAAGTTCAGAGGTGAGATGTGATGGCGATCTCACCACTCAAAGACTCTCTATCAAGCATTAAAGCATACGGATTGCAGGAGTCGCATGCGACAAGCGAACTATTCCATTATAATGAGCATTAACGTTATCGAGAGTATGGAGTTTATGAATCTACCAACCTCCTTGGATTCCTCTTGGATGTCTATGACTTGGTCACTCCAGCTGCGGATGAAGGATCTCATGAACTCATCAATCTTGGGGAGGAGTTGGTCCCGGATGGCAGTGGGACTAATAAGACCAAGCATAGCACTTCTCATGGCCTTGTGTTGGGGACCATGTACCGCAGCAATATTCCATTTCCCCATCATATCCACCATTGACTGAGGATAACCAGGAACCAGGCCCTTCCCCTCATTCACGATGATGTACCTATTCACCTCTGCATCCATGCATATCACTGTAGGGCACCCCAGTATGTGTGTCCTGAACAGATTCCCAAACCTGCGATGGCCAACAGACAAAATGAGCAAAAACAGAGGGCTTGACAACAACCTCAGTTTTCCCACAACAGGAGAAGAGATTTAAGGCCTAAGGCAACTGCTATAGGCTAGGGAGAGAAGTTGTAGGGACACCATTGCAGCCTTGAAGATGGAGATGATGTCAGAGGTGAAGTCTTTCAGAACAACACAGTTTATGTACCACGAAGAGCAAATCGTTCAGCAGCAGATAAGCATATTGACGGCAGCACAATTATTATCAGGAGATTCTGCTACCAAACAAGTCCAAGTGTTTGTTCCTCCTACCGCATGCATCAATGATTCAAAAACTTCATAGAATGGCTAAATCAGGAAACTAATGCATGAGGAAATCACTGAGAAGATCCAACGGAGATGACCAAGATTAACTCACCGGGCTCTCTGGTTCTTCAAGAAGGTCGGGCCTTGTTTGAGGAACTCAGAGGTCTCGCCGATGACCGGCCACCCCATCGTCCCCGGAGGCAGCCCCTTCTTCCTGTACCGCAGCTCATTCCACCTCAGTAAGCCACCGCAAACAAACACGAGGCCGAGGAGGATCCCCAGAACAGCTCCGACGCCCACCACCATTTCACCGTCGCCTCGGGAGTCGCAGAAACGCAATGGCGTTCCTCCCCGGCCTCGGATGCACGTGCATATATATAGCACCAGCACCTGTGAGGAGGCGGATACCATTTGTGGGTGGGTGGGTGGGTGGGGGTGGGGGGAAGAGGAGGGAGTGAATCGTGAATCCCGAAGGTGATTAGCACTCAACAGTGAAGCTTTTAGCGCCTCCTACAGTGTATCTTTACATGCATCGTCCATATGTTTAAGTGAAAAGCACCGGATGACAGATGGTAAAGGAGGACGCTTTTGGTGGGCATTGAGATGGGCGTGTTGGGCATCAAAGGTGAGGTGGCACATGGTATCCACTCCATTGGAGCAAAGGAGAAAGCAGCTGTGTGACCCCAAAAGAACGTACGCATGCCTGTCAATGCCATCTGATCCGCCCAAGTAACACCACATTTAGTAACTCTTAAGCAGCAGATCGGTGAAATATAGGAAAGAGAGCCAACACATTAAGCAAGAATTTACGGAAATATTTCCTTCCAAAATTTACTGCGGGAGATCACACAAAGATTCACGTTTAAAGTTCACTCATCTTTCATCATCCTTGAGGAGTTTGATCTCGTGTCCTTTTTATTACACTAAACTCCATCGGAATGTCTCATCGGAGGCACAAGAGAAAAAGCTAAAATATATGTGCTTTTTGATGTATAGGACCACATACAAGGTGGAGGCACAGCAGGATCGAACAGTCCTGTTGGCTAATGCTAGAACAGCAAGAACTCCTCACGCATTCTTTAATCTGCATGATTTCTTTGCATGCTCATTTGTTTACATACGAGATCAAGGTGAGCCTGATTGGTTCCATACGAGTCTTCTTCACTCGGATAACCCAAAGCCCAAGCCGCATGCGACAGCGGCCACTGTCACCGGCGCCGCACCGCCTGCATGCGTCCGGCAAGCAGCGGCAATGCTCCGACCCACCAATCATGGCCATACTAACCCCGCTCCGTCGACCAATATGGAGGTGAAACGTGAGCGGCAAATAGAACACGCACAGTGACACCTCAGTGGCCATGGGCGCCACACCGACATGATGGGTGCGATAGCTGGTCAAACACACAAGAGAAAGCTGATGTCTCAGACCACAAGAGACCCGGCGAGGGAGGGCATGTACAGATACGGGTACACGTGAAGAGAATATCCATACCTGCGTGCTTCGCTTCTCGGTGTTCATGGAGGACGGGGAGAGATGCGCTGCGGCAGCACCCGTGGATGGCTTTCCCGTTGCAAGCAGCGTCAGGTCCTTGTCCTTCCTCGCTCGTGATGGGACGAAGACATGTCGAAAAAGTTGCGATCACTTTCAATTCCTCTTCTCGCTGACACCAAGTACACTGGGGGTACCAACTGACAGCGAGCAAGCCAATCAAGGACATCAAGTTTATCCCCTCCTCTCTCTCTCTCTCTCTCTC